AAAGTGTGACTTAGCTGCTTTGGCTCAATTTTTATTTTTTCAGTTTCTGTACGGTCAGGTTTTGATGATGAATGTTCGTTCATTGCTTTCTTTGTATTGTTCCATAACGAATGTAGTATAACAATACTTAATGAATGTTCTGCTTTGTTTTATTCATTATGAATATTTTCTCTCCAATCAATTTATTTGTTGATCACAAGTTTGTTTATGCATTGTAAAGGATATTTTTTGATCACATTCATAATTTATGCCCTAATTTGCAGTGAATTGAACAAGATTAAGTATGTTTGCTTGTATTGTATATATGTGGATATGACATTTCATCGATGAATAAACACTTTCAAATTAATGAAACCAATCTCGAGCTGTTATCTTTCGTCATTCCCTCTAGCACTGTTTGCTCTTTCGGTGGCCAGTTGACCATTTTTGCCTACTGAATTAATACCTGAACGATTGCTAAAATACTTAGTTTTATTTCTATTTACCAAATTCCTCTGAAGATGAGTTCAAGCTTTCCAATTACATCCTCTCAGCGATGCAGTTCAATATCTAAGCGATTAGGCATATAGCATTGTCCTAATGAAAAATTCAATCCATACAGTGTAATTTTCAGTGTGAGTGAATCTGGATCTCGGAATTTTGCGAGCAACATTTAGTTCATGCTCTAGTGAAATAAATGAAGAAAATGAGATATGGGTGGCGAGCAATTTATGTGATGGAATTGCTCGTATTGGTTTCGATATGTGGTGTGTGCGCGATGACTAATGGTCAAAGAGCTCCAAGAGCGTCGACACGTTTTGGTGATGTGGAAGGATTCACGTATCGTCTGGAGAATGGTGATAGTGCGAATATTTTTCTCGGTATTCCGTATGCGTCTCCACCAGTTCGCATTCTACGTTTTGAGGTTATTCCATTCATATTCCTTAATAGTATTGTGCAGTTACAGTGAACTGTTTGACTAAACTTGTTACATCACGAGTTCTAGTGATTGAAAGAATCATATTCAGGCAATTGCTTCACAGCTCATATCCAGTGAGCAGCATTCTAAGATTGCATGATATTCTAATCGAACACTGAGTTGTCCCAAGCATTCGTTACATGAATTGTTCGAAAAGTGCAAGTTCTTCCGAGTGAAGATCCTTAAATGATGAATTTAATGATCCCGAAAACCAGAATGGATGACAACTGAACGTAAATAAACATTTCCGTAAATTTTAAGTTAATGACAGTTAGCCGAATAGGAGAGAACGAGAGTGTGCAATAGAATGAGAGTTTGATGGTTGATTGAAATGAAAAATCAAGAGTGAGAGTTTAACAACAATAGAATGCCATCAATGGTTTTAGATATAAGAGTGATTATAACATATCTAAAAAGAATGAAAATACTGTCACATGAACGTGAATTCATTGAGTCATGGAGAAATGGCCACAAATAAACATGTTTGATGCTAAACTCAACTTGTAATTAGGCCTCGACCCTTCATGAAAATCCATTAAGGTTATAACGTTTCATCATAATCTAATAAGGCATGTCATAAGGTATCTGAATTTAGAACAATGTTTATTTGTTTATCCACTTGTTTGCAAACGATTAGAAAGTATTCCTCAATATCAATAGTCTAATAACATAAAATTTTCTTAATATCTCCTGAAACTTCAGTATTTCAGCGTCCAGTTCCAGTAAGGCCATGGACAGGGATCAAGAAAACGATCGACTATGGAGCATCATGTTATCCGTATCATAGAGATGCCATGGTACCAAACCTAGAATATGACGAAGATTGCCTCTATATGAACGTGTTTGCGCCTAGTAGAAAGGTTAGATCATGGCCATACATCCATCTGACTACTAGGTTTCCTTATCCATTCAAGAAACTCTTTCAAAATCATAAATGATCTTATTGCATATGAATACTGTTCACCAAAGATATGCAGCACACGTGCGATACTCAACTATTCAATACGTTAAGTCAGTTCATGCATACCGATTACGTAACCAATTTTAGAGCTGATGAAATTCGAATTTAAATTCCAAATTCAATGCACGAGTATTTGATTCATCAAGCTGATTATTATCTCGTATTTTGTTTTATATTATTTGATGAGAACTTCGTTATCATACATTATGACATAGAGGAAATTTTACACAAGTGGTATACAAGCGATATATTAGCACTGTAATGTATGCGAGGATCACTACTAATGAATGACAATTGATTTCTCGTAGAGCGATTCCTTATGGGGTTATCCGGTTGTTGTGATCGTGCACGGTGGTGGTTTCAAATACTTCTCGTCTTCATTGCTGCCACACGATACACTCTGCAATAATTTCGTGAAAGAAGGCATTATCGTAGTGACATTCAACTATCGTGTTGGCTTCCTGGGTTCGTGTTTCCTTTAATCTGTTCAATCGAAAATTACAACAACCCATCAAGAGCGAAAAATATGTCTCTGTAGATCACCAACTATCTATTTCAAATTAACCTCAGGTTTTCTAAGTACCGGTGAAGGGCCGTTACCCGGTAATCTTGGTCTCTGGGACCAAACTGAAGCACTTGTCTTCGTCAGTGAGAATATCCCGGCCTTTGGAGGTGACCCAAGGAGAGTGACGCTTCTTGGACAAGGCGCTGGTGCGGCAAGTATTTCAGCACTTTCAATTTCACCTAAATCAAACGGTATGCCCACTTTACGATCAAATATGGAAAATTGAATTGCGATCCGTTAAATCCGTAATCATAGCGGTCATCTCGTCCCAAATCTCATCACAAATCTGAAGATAAACTAAAAACTAAGCTAAATTACTTATCACTCATCGGGATCATACCTGCTCAAGCAAAACATTCTCAAGTTAGCAAGTGGTCTCCTAACGGACGATCAAATGATCCAATCTCTCTGACCATTTTGCAGTATGCTATCCTGCCAATCACACGTTACAACTCTTAGCCCACGAAGTCTTTCAAATGGAAAATTCGTGATGAAACTCTCTGAATGTGATGTTACTGATGGTCATACTCTCTTTATCACCCTCAGAACTGATAACGTTCCCAATTTCAGAATTCTTTCAACAGTCGATCACATTCAGCGGTTCAATATTCTGTGAATTCGCTTTGAGTCAAAATGTGATTAGCGAGAGTTTTCGATTGATCAATGCGTTGGGATGCGCCAACAAAAGTCATGTTGATTTGAAGGATTGCATGAAGAGGCTGAGTGTTCACATGCTACTCGACGGTATGGACCGCGTGGTAAGTTTCGTTCATATGTTTGAGAAAATTTCCAATTCTGTGGTAAATATGGAGTATTTTACCGCTGAATGAAAAAGTCGCCCGACAAATAGATCATTGGGTGGATCTCATTCAATTTAAATTCAAAATTCAATACACGAGTATTTGATTCATCAAGCTGATTATTATCTCGTATTTTGTTTTATATTATTTGATGAGCACTTCATTATCATACATTTTTGGTTGTTTTGGGTAACTTTCCATCGCTCGTTCAGTAACACCAATTGTAGATAAATGCCTAAATGAATGAAGACATAATAATACACAGAGCGATTTCCAGTATCTATTGTAATTTCCACCATTTAAATGATGTAAATGAATTTTATTTACGCATTTCCTGGAATTGTGCTGATTTCTTCGGACGGACATCTGGATTCTGTTGGAATGAATGCGGTTAATGGTTCGATAACATGTTCAATATTATAGGTGGTGCCCATTTCAGCATTACGACTCCCACGCCATACAGTTTCATCCAAAATTTGATACGCACTTCTTTGTGCGTCCTCGTGATCAACTTCTGCAAGTGGTATCACCCATGCGCAATATGATCGGTGTCCACGGTGCAAAATCTGCTATTTCCGGTGAGCTTTCTCCCCGCTTTCTATTTTAGTATATCCTCATTTTTCAGGAGAATTCATGTTCTCGTACCTCTATCCATGAACTCTAATATTCCTGATTGTGAGGAAACATCCATATCCGAACCTTCGAAAGATCCTCAACAAAATTGATCTGTTAGATTAACCTAAACTGGTGGAAGTATTTACAGTTCTGGTGAAACTTTTGCAGTATTAGCCTTTCCTCCAAATGTGATCGAATGTTCTCATCAGTGAAGGACATTCGAATCGTTCCACATCAATAACTCGAACTTTTAGTGTTGTACGACGATGTGAGAACTCGCTTCAAGACTGTCTTGAGNGTCTTGAGTGTATCACAACAAGCCACATTTTCGGTCAAAGACCTTCGTAACTACATCCGAAATGTGGTGGCAACTGAGGAGGTATTCGGTGAGAGGGCAAAACCATTCGAAAAACAACTGGTGCAATTTTATGTGGAACGTGCTGTACCTGAAAATGTTGATAAACACTTCTACCTACGTCGTTTCACTGAGGCACGCTTCCGTTTGAATACGAATGAAACGTTTTACTCTATTGTTCAATCGTAAATAACCTCTCAAATATACCCACTTGAATTCATTCGTTTTCTCAAGAGCGCTTTACAACTCAGTTTCGAGTAGCTCTTGTGTTATAGTTAGAAGGTCATTTTTGATCAATAAATGGATGATTTGTT